CTCTCAGGACTGGGAACTTGCTGCGAAGAGAGAGGAGGAGAAGCAGCCCCTGAAGGAGGGTGTTCAGGACCTGCACGTGAAGCACCACCTTTTCAGCTGGGACATCTGATAGACGTCTGATAGGGTGCTGATCTTCCTCCAGGGGCCCTGCCAGGCCCAGGCGTCCCCCAGCTCGGTGGCTACCAGAGCAGACCCCTCCCTCAAGCAACAAGAGAAAAGGTCTGTCCCGGCCAGTATCAAGCTGCCTTGGGACTGGGTCTGAAGCTGTCCAGCCGCCCCAAGCTGGGAGGGTCAAGGAAAGGAGACACCCCGGATCCTTGGTCCGTGATCAGGAGAGCGGGGCACGTTCCCTGAACTCCCAGAGCGTTGCAGGAGCAGAAGATGGGGCAGGCTAGGCCTGTTCCTCCGCGCCAGGGAGGGCTTTGGCCAGGGTCCTGAAGGGTGGATACCAACCAAAAATCTTGGGAAGAGTTGGAGCGTCACCTCTGTTCTGTCAGTCTTTGATCAATAAGGGGTTGGGGTGGGGCTAAGGGGTTCCTTGACCTGTAAATAAACTGAATTTGAGTGGGGGAGAGAAGTGAATTGGTAAAATTCAATTTTGTAATGGTAATGTCTTAAAATTTTTAAGTATGTATTCACTTATTTGAATTTTCCTGCAAAATATGCTCCCAAGTGAGCAAATAAAAATTTGTTAAAAAAATGTTCACAATAGGATTGTTTGTGTTATTTCAAAAAATTCTGTAACCGTTGGTTGGGATTTGGTTACAGAATTTGTGGTACATTTATAGTAGAATAATATATAGTTAAAAATATTTAGTAGCTTTAAATATTCTACTTTGGAAATACGTCCAAACTACATTGTAAGTTAAAAGAAAAAGAACCAAAAAAGCACATTGAAACATTTCAATAACTTTTCTGTAAAAAATTATAAATATATACAAAAATAGGCACTATAAAAAAACCATTGCCATCGAGTCAGTTCTGAATAGGCACAATAGAGATAGAGAAATCCCTGGATGGTGGAAGCAGTTAACGTGCTTGGCTGCCAGCAGAAAGGTTGGAAGTTCAAGTCCACCTAGAGATGCCTTGGAAGAAAGACCATTTGATCTACTTCCAAAAAAATCAGCTATTGAAAACCCTATGGAGCACAGTTCTACTCTTACACAGATGGGGCCACCATGAGTTGGAATTGATTCGATAGCAAGTGGTTATAGGAATATAGACTGAATTATGTTATTTTGAATGTTTATTTTCTGTTACATATTTCTATAATAAACGACCCTGGGTGGCAGAAACCATTAAGCACTCAACTATGAACCAAAACGTCGGTGGTTTGAACCCACCTAGAGGTGCCTCAGAAGAAAGGCCTGGTGATCTGCTTCTGAAAAGTCACAGCCTTGAAAACCCTATGGAGTGCAGTTTTACTCTGCAGAGAGGGCTGCCATGAGTCAGAAGTGACTGGACAGCAACTGGTTGTTTATAAATGTTTACAAGGAAAAAGCAATATTGTTGTAATAGGAAAAATATTAAAGATCCTGAGAGTGTTTGAGGTTAGTAATTTGTACAGAACAATTCCTTTTGGATATGTTAGTTTTTATTTACTAATGAAATGAAAAATGAAGAAGGTTGCCTGAAATATTTCACAGCTTGTTAACATTTTTGTAAACGACACAGGAATATTCATAAGCCTTCTATGTTTCACCAGCATTGTTCTAAATCTTAAGCTTTGTAGTTGTCATCTTTCAGGACTGGAGAGATGTGCTGTGCTGTAAAAAGAAACAAACAGACAGCATTATCTAAAACTGAACTACATGCAGTTTTTAAAAATTGTATGGCAAAAGTGCAGCAAATACAAATGACATCTTTTGCAAAAAATATTTTAAATATATACTAAAGTTCTAGTATCCTTCAGATAAAAGACTCAAAAAGAAAATTAAAAAGCTAACAGGAAAAGGGGACAAATGACAAACAGGCCGTTCACGAGAAAGGAAATACAAAGGACTTTCCAATATATTAAAAAAAAGTCAAATTGTCAGTGATAAAAATTTTGATAAAACACTCTGTTGGGAATGACAAATGTTATCAGTAGTGCAAAATGGTTCAAATTCTTTGGAGTGCAGTTTGACAGTATCTCTCAAAAGTGCACAAAGCTTTGATCCAGCAATTCTGCTTCCAGGAATTTGTCCTACAGAAATAAACACGCATGCACAAATAAGTTTGCATAAGACTATTTCAGCATTATTTGTAATAGCAGAAATTGGAAAAAAAATTAAATTTCCATCATTAAGTGGTTGGTTAAATAAATTGTGGTGCACCATTAGAAAGAATAAGGTTTATTGTATGACTTGAAATGTAATTGACATCAAGACATTTTAAATAGTGATAAAACAAAATGCCGAAAGATAGATAGAAAATCTCCATTTGTATTAAAAGATGCATGTATTAGTTTATGTATGTTTAGAATGTCTCTCGGAAGACACAAAAATCTGGTGTTTTTGGAGATCTGAAAGGAGGATTGGGGTGGGAGGGATCCCCACTTTTGGCAGTATACATTTATGTATTTTGTGATTGCTTCACTCCTGTGCTTCTTTCCAAATAACACCGATTCAAAAAAAAAGCCTGTTTTTGTAAATGTAAGATTTCTTGTCAAAAGGATTTAATTACAGGCCACATGACATCCTGTTTTATTACAGTGTTTAATAGCAGAGGACTAGCCAGAAAATGAGGCCATAAGGTATTATCCGGTAATCTTCCAGATATAATTGATATGCTGTTTCCTTAAAGGTATCATAAACATTATGAAAGCATTGTTTTTTCTGTATTTTTTCTACTCCAAATAACAAAGACATTTGCTCCCTGAAAGCTAAACTGGAAAGAAATGATACTCTGTTTTAACCATTTAAAATAATACATTTAATAAAAATTATCCGTGGACTGTGACTCAGTTTGCTCTAATTCAGTTTTCATGCTTTTATTTTAAAATACAGCCAAATAGCCAACTTCCAAGACCCTTAACGTTTGCTATAAAGAAGAAAGTATTCTACCATGCACATTTTTTTTTGGGAAGAGTCATGGTGTGAATAAAGTAAGAAATATGTAAGTTGCAAAAAACTGTAATATAATATTGATTAGATTTTGCCAACATTTTCATTCATTCATAGTGAAAATCACCTTATCTCTTCAAGTTTCTTGTAGAATTGATTTCATTCAAAGATATAACTAAATATACAGTACAAGTACAGTTCTAATAATGAGAGATTCTGTGCATTTGTCAAACATCTCTAGTACATATTTTATCCCATAATAAAAGATCGTGGTTTATCTTGTTAGTGCAAAGCCTCTCTACTGTAATTGTTTTTTAAGTAGAATACTCATTGCTGTGGAGTCAATTCCAATTCATATCAACCCTATAGGACAGAATAGAACTGCCCCATAGGGTTTCCAAGCAGTGGCTGGTGGATTCAAACTGCCAACTTTTTGGTTAGCAGCCCTAGCCCTTAACCACTGTACCACCAGGGTTCCTTAAGTAGAACAGTTTCTCTAATTCCATGTGACAGCAATTTACTAAGGTGCCAAAGTGGGCAACAGGAATGACTAAATCCTTCACAGTCATTGGACTTCATTCCATTTGTATTGAGCCCACTCAAGTGTTCAGATCCCTGGTAACCTAGAAACCCGTGAAATTAATCAATACCATACACCACCGGAGCCAGGAACGTGGCTGAAAATCTATAAAGAGATTGAACGTAGAAGGGTGTGCATAACCTTTCATCTCTGGTGAACTCAGGTCTTTTTGTTACAGTACTTTGTACTCGCTACTGAGTACACTACAAGTACTTTGTCAGCTGTTTCTTTGTATTCTTTTTTTATACAGATTACAACTGCAGTTATACATGTATTCTTTTCCATACTTTTCGAACAAAATTATCCACTTACACACCTTTTATGATTTATACTAAACTCTTTGTGACCATGTTTTTTACAGGAATAAGATTTTTCATAAGGTTTCACTATAATTTGTTTATTTAACAATTTTGCTAGATATTTAAATAGTTTACAATTACTCCTGTTTCCAGTCTCTCTTCTTTCTGTGGGAATGTAAGTTTAGCAATGTATTGCTTAAAAATCACAGCATATTTTGGATTTCCTTGGAATTCGGCATAGAAGGAATTAACTTGAGTTTACACATGAGATTTGATGGAAAATTAGATAAAATATCATATTGGTAAGTTGAAGATTTAATTGAGTTTATTAAGGCATGGCTCCTATAACAGATGGATTTTTATTTGAGTGGGAAAGGATCTCATAAATTTGTACTTGAGGTCGAGTATATCAGAATCAACTGGGAAGTGTCTTCGAACCTATATACTTAGGGAGGACCCCGAGACCAGTAGTTCTTAAATTGTGATTTCCGAACCAGCAGTATCAGCATCACCTAGGAGCTTGTTAGAAATGCACTTTCTTAGGCCTGACCCCAGACCCACTGAATCAGAAACTCTGTGAGTGGGTTAAGCAATCTGGTTTAACATGCCCTCAGGGTGACACTTATAGCTAATACAGCCCCATGCTTTCTGATATGCTCTAAACCAAAAAACAAACACACCCATTGCCGTCAAGCTGATTCCAACTCAGAGACCTAATAGGGCAGGGTAGAACTGCTCCATAAGTTTTCCAAGGAGCACATAGGTGGGTTCGAACTGCCAACCTTTTGGTTAGCAGCCGTAGCTCTTAACTACTACACCATTAGGGTTTCTAATATGCTCTAAGGCATATTTAAAATAGTTTCAAATTTCTCTTATACACCTACCTCACTCCGCCTTGGGAATCATTGTATTTGATTGCTGAGATATAGAATTTCCATAGTTGTTCATAATTGCTTATGTAAATGCTGTATGTTTCTATATATAATTGAATGAGCACAGTAGAAAATATATTCATTCCTTTATTTAAAACCATAATTTTTCCCCCAGACTGGGTTCTGGTGGCAGAGATAGGTCTTTATCCTAGGAAGGAATAATAGATATATTTGAACAGATAATGTTTATTGAGAGGTGATGACGTGGATTTTTCTGGACCTACCATAGTTAATGATTCAGTTTGCTTTGTAATACATATGAAAAGTCCTTAACCTAGACTGTGTGTGCAATGTATTTGCAGCAAAGTTCACAGTGAGAATAGTTGACTCCTTTCCGACTCTAATATATGATCATTGCAACAATTATATTTTCTCCAAGCAAGCTATCCAACTTTGACTCAGATCGACTTAACATGGTATAGTAATATCTTTTAAAAAGAGAAGGAAATCTGTTAATATTTTATTAAGAGTTCTCTAAATTTTGATGGGCAACATAAATCAATGAGTTTGCAAGTAGAGAATAAAAGATGGTATCAGTAAATATTTCATCTGCACCAGGAAGTTCCATTAACTGTAGTTGGAATACATCTGATATAATATGCAGTCAGTTCAGGGAAATTGCTGTATGAATTCCTTTGAGTTGATAATATCTTTGGAAAATATGCATACTTTTGCAGAGTCCACCATCTTTATGAAATATTATTTCCATTCAGTTCAGAATATTTTCTCATTTCCCTTGAGACTTTCTCTTTGACCCGTGGGTTATATAGAAGTACGTTGGTTCATTTCTAAGTTGCTGGAGGTTTTCCTGTTACCCTTTGGTTAGTGATTACTAGTTAAATTACATTATGGTCAGAGAACAAATTTTGTGTGATTTCAGTTTTTGGTAATTTTTTAAGGTTTGTTTCATGAACAAAGTACAGTCTATCTGGGTGAAGGTTCCATGTGTTAAAAAGAAAGGGTGTTCTGACGTTGGGTGGAATGTTTCATAAATGTCAGTGTTGGTTGATGATGTTCAGTTCTTCAATATTGTTGCTGATTTTCTCTCTAGTGGTTCTATGGGTTAATGAGAGAAAAGTGTTGAAGTCTCCAGCTTTAATCGTGAACTTGTCTATTTACCCTGTCAGTTCTGTCAGTTTTTGCTCCATGTATTTTGAAGCTCTTGTTAGGTGCATGGACCTTTACATTATTATGTCTTATTGGCACCTTGACTCTTTTATCCTTAAGTGATGTCTCTCCTTATCTCTGGTAATTTTCTTTGTTCTGACGTCTACTTTGTCAGACATTAATGTAACCACTCCAGATTTTTTTTTAATTAAGCTTTATTGAGATATAATTTGTGTACCATAAACTTTATCCTTTTAAAGTGTACAGTTCATTAGTTTTTAATATATTCACAGAGTTGTGCAACCATTACAATCTCATTTTAGAACACTTTCATGATCCCAAAAGAAGCTCCGTACTTCTTAGCAATCATTTCTCATCCCTGTTCCTCTCCTACCTCTTCTGGCAACCACTCATCTACTTTATGTGTCTATAGATTTGCATATTCTAGGGGTTCATACAAATGGAATCAAGCAGTATATGGTCTTCTGTGACTGGCTTCTTGCACATAGCATGATGTTTTCAAAGTACATCCAGGTTGTAGCATGTATCAGTATCGGATTCTTTTTATTGGTGAATATTATTCCATTATATGGATATACCACCTTTAAAAATTTATCCATTCATCAATTGATGGACTTTTGAGTTGTTTTCACTTTTTTGGTTATTATGAACAATGCTGGTGTGAACATCTGTGTACATGTTTTTGTGTAGACATAAGTTTTTATTTCTCTGGAGTATATACCTAGGAATGAAGTTGCTGGATCATATAAGTTTATGTTTAACCTTCAAAAAAATTGCCAAACTGTTTTCCAAAGCAGTTGAATCATTTTACATTTTTACCAGCAATGTATGAGCATTTCAATATCTTCACATACTCCTTCATGCTCATTGTTTGTCATTTTTATTATAGCCATTCTAGTATGTGTCAAGAATATCTCTCTGTGGTTTTGATTTTAATGTATTTAATTACTAATGATGTTAGGAATCTTTTAATGTGCTGATTGTCCCTCTGCATATCTTCTTTGAAGAAATGTTTATTCATATCCTTTAACCATTTTTTAAATTTGCTTTTTGTTATTGAGTTGTTTGTATTCTTTACATATTCAGGATAAAGGTCCCTTGCCAGATATGTTTGAAATATTTTGCAAGTATTTTCTCCCATTTCGACTCCATTCTGTGGGTTGTATTTTTAGTTTCTTCATGGTGTCCTTTGAAACAATTTTTTTTAGTTTTGATGAAGTGCAATTTATTTTTTATTTTGTCACTTGTGGTATTTGTATCATATTATGTAATTATTGCCTAATCCAAGGTCATGAAGATTTACTCCTGTGTTTTCTTCTAAGTTTCATAGTTCTACATTTAGGTTTGTGATCCATTTGGAGTTAACTGTTCGTATGCTCTGGGGAAGGGATCCAAATTCATTCTTTTGTATGTGGATATGCAGTTTTCCCAGCCATTTATTGAAAAGACTGTTCTTTCTGCATTGAATGATCTCATTACTCTTGATGAAATTCTGTTGATCATAACTGTGAGGATTTATTTCTGGATTCTGAATTGTACTCTATTAATCTGTATGTCTGCCTTTATACCAATACCACATTATTTGGATTTTAAGTTTTGAAATCAGAAGGTGATTCCCCCATTTTGTTCACATTTTTCATGATTGTTTTGTCTATTTTATCAGGAGCTCTGGTGGCATAGTGGTTAAGAGCTCGGCTGCTAACCAGAAGGTCAGCAGTTCAAATCCACCAGCTGCTGCTTGGAAACCCTATGGGGCAGTTCTCCTCTTCCCTGTAGGGTCACTGTGAGTCAGAGTTGACTTGACGGCAAAAGGTTTGGGTTTTTTTTTTGGTTGTTTGGGTTTCTGAGTGTTTGTTTTTGTTTTTTGTTTTTGTTTTTGGTTGTCTATTCTGGGTCTCTTGCATTTCCGTGTGAATTTTATGTTCAGCCTCTCAATTTCTGGAAAGGACAACTGGGATTTTGATAGGGATTACATTGAATCTGTACATCAATTTGGGAAGTATTGCCATCTTAACAGTATGAAATTGTCTGATTTATGAACATGAGATGTTTTTCTTTTTATTTAGATATTCATTAAATTCTTTCAACAATTATTGTATTTTTTGGTGTGCAAGTCTTGCACTTCTTTTGTTACATTTATTCCTAGGCATTTTATCCTTTTGAACACTATTGTAAATGGAATTGTTTTCTTGTATTTTTCATTGCTCGTGTATAGAAATACAGTTGATGCTTGCATATTAATCTTGTGTCCTGCCACATTGTTGAACTCTTTTATTAATTTTAATAGTTTTTTAATGGATTCCTTAGGAATTTCTATGTGCCAGATCATGTCATTTGTAAATATAGTTTTACTTTTTCATTTTCAGTCTGGATGCTTTTTTTTTTTTTCTTTCTTTCCTAATTGCCCTGGGTAGAAACTCCAGTAAAAATGTTCAATAGAAGTATTGAGAGTGGACATTTTTTTTTGTTCCTAATCTTAGGGGTAAAGCATTCAGTTTTTCTCCATTGAGTATGATGTTAGCTGTACATGTTTCATAGATACTATTATCAGATTAAACAAGTTTCCTTCTATTCCTATATTGTCAAGTGTTTTTTATAATGAAAAAGGTGTTGGATTCTGTCAGATACTTTAGCTGCATCTATTGAGACGATCATATGGGTTTTGTCCTTTATTAGTATTATGGTGCATACATTGATTGATTTTTGTACGTTAAACCAGTCTTTTATTCCTGAGATAAATCCCACTTGGTCATGGTGTATAATTCTTTTTAGATGTTGCTGGATTTGGTTTGCTAGTATTTTGTTGAGGATGTTTGCCTCTGTATTCATAAGGGATATTAGTCTGTAGTTTTGTTGTGATGTCTTTGATTTTGGTATCAGGGTCATACTGACCTCAAAGAATGAGTTGGGAAGGGTTCATGCTGCTATTTTTTGAGTTTGTAAAGGATTGGTACTACTTCTTCTTTAAGCATTTGGTAGAACTCAACCATTGAAGCCTGTATGCCTGGGTTTTCCTGGTAGGACTTTTTTTTTTATTACTTATTACATCTTTTTACTTGTTGTAGGTCTATTCAGATTTTCTATTTCTTCTTGAGTTAGTTTTGGAAGTTTGTGTCTTCCTCGGAATTTGTTTATTTTATTTTAGGTTATCTAATTTTTTTGGAATACAGTAGTTCATATTATTTCCTTATAATCCCGCCGCCTCTTTTTTTTAATGTAAAGTTGGTAGTAATATCCCACTTTTCATTTATGATTTTAGTAATTTGAGTCTCCTCCTTTTTTTATTGGTTAGTTTCATTAAAGTTTTGTCAATTTTGTTGCTCTTTGCAAAAAATTAACCTTTGATGTCATTGATTTTCTCTGTTGTTTTCCTATCCTCCATTTTATTTATTTCTGCTCTAATCTTTACTATTTCTTTCCTTCTGCTTATTTGGGTTTAATTTGCTTTTTTAAGAATTTCTTAAAGGTGGAATGTTAGGTGTTGATTTCAGATTTTTCCAATTTTGTTTGTTTTTGTTGTTTTAATATGTGCATTTATAACTGTAAATTTGCCTCTTATACACTGCTTTAGCTGCATCTCATAACTTTTGGTATTTTATACCTTCATTTTCATCCATTTCCAAATATTTTCTAATTTCCCTTGTGATTTCTAACCCATTGTTTATTTAGCTGTGTGTTGTTTAATTTCTGTATGTTTTTTAATTTCCCAAATTCACTTCTGTTATTGATTTCTAGTTTCTTGAGAAAACGTTGTTGTTAGCTGCCATGGAGTTGGCCCCCAACTCATGGTGACCACACGCAGAGTGGAATGAAGCAGTGCCCAGTCCTCTGCCATTCCCATGATTGGTTGCAGATCGAACTGTTGTGATCCATAAGATTCTCACTGGCTGATTTTTAGAAGTAGATCACCAGGCCTTTCTTCCTAGTCTTAGCAAGCTCTGCTGAAACCTGTTCAGTATCATAGGTAACATGCAAACCACCACTGACAGACAGGTGGTGGCTACCTATGAGGTACATTGGCCTAGAACTGAACCCATATTTCCCACACAGAAGGCAAGAATCCTACCACTGAACCACCAATGTCCCCACTGAGAAAATATACTCTGTATGATTTCAGTCTTTTCAAAAATGTATTAAAACTTGTTTTATGGCCAGGTACATGGTCTATTCTGAGGAATGTTCCATGTTCACTTGAAAAGAATGTGTATTCCGTGTTCTGTAGATGTTTTTTAGTTTATTGTTTTATAGTGTTGTTTAGGTGTTCTGTGTCCTTGTTGATCTTCTGTCT